TGCCGTAAAAGCCTGAAGGCCGGAGGGACAACGGCTAATACTGTACTACCCCGTTTCAGTTCCTACAGCAGTAGGAGTAGAAGTAGTAGAAGTAGTAGTAGTAGTAGTAGTAGTAGTAGTAGTAGTAGTGGTGATAATAGAAGGGGTAGTAGTGGTAGTAGTAGTCGTCGTTGACGTGGTGGTGGTGGTGGTGGTGGTGGTGGTGGTGGTGGTGGTAGCAGAAGTTCGTGGCAGGAGCAGCAGTAGTAGGAGTAGTAGTAGGGGTGGTAGTAGTAGTAGGACTAGCAGTAGTGGTAGTAAGTAGTATTAGCAGTAGTAGTAGTAGTAGTAGTAGTCGTAGTCGTAGTCGTAGTAGTAATAGTAGTAGTAGTAGTAATACTAATACTAGTACTAGTACTAGTACTAGCGCAATCAATATCAGTAGTAGTAGTAGTTGTTGTTGTTGTTGTTGTTGTCGTCGTCGTCGTAGTCGTAGTCGAAGTCGTAGTCGTAGTCGTAGTCGTAGTCGTAGTCGTAGTCGTAGTCGTAGTCGTAGTCGTAGTCGTAGTCGTAGTCGTAGTAGCAGCAGTAGCAGTGGCAGTACTAGCCGTAGCCGTAGCCGTAGCAGAAGCATTAGCAGTAGCAGTAGCAGTAGCCGTAGCCGTAGCAGTAGCAGTAGCAGTAGCAGTAGCAGTAGCGTCGTAGCAGCAGTAGTAGTAGTAGTAGTAGTAGTAGTAGTAGTTGTTGTTGTTGTTGTTGTAATAGTAGTAGCGGTAGTAGTAGTAGTAGTAGTAGTAGTAGTAGTAATAATAATAATAGCAACAATAATTCTAATAGTAAGAATAATAATAATAATAGTAGCAATAGTGGTTATAGCAGCAACAGCAAAAGCACCGGAAGCAGTAATGCCACCAGCAGCTTTACCGCCCTGGTTCGAAAAACTCTTGGGCATCACTCTCAGACCTTCCACAGGCCTCAAAAGGTTGAAGGAAGGTAGGATAAAGGATCCCGACTAAAGGACCCAGGTTTGAAAAGTACCCATGGAGCCCTTTGAGTCGCTGAGGCCAGGGCGGCCTCCCTGGTCGCCCGGCCGCGCCTCTGGCGCCCTAGGCCTCTCCGACCACCTCACACATCCCCGAGCTGTGAGCCAAAGCTGCGGTTGAGGGCGAGCTACCTATCGACCATCTATCTAAGTGTCGATCTGTCTATCTACCTACCTACCGTTCTTTCTTTATTTTTGTTTCTTCCTATATTTATGTATTTAGTTATTTCTTTCATTCTTTCATCTCGCTATTTGTTTCGTTCATTATTTATTTCTTTCTGTCGTGATTTATGTCTTTGTTTCTTTCTACTTATGTGGTCATTTATGTCTGTATTTCGTTATTTCTTTCTTTAGTTGTTTATGTACTTCTTTATTTATGTGTGTATTTATTTATTTAATTACTTCTTCCTTTATTTATCTATTTATTTGGATAGATAGTTCTTTCTTTATTTCTTTCTTCATTTCGTTATTTAGTTGTTTCTTTAGTTCGTTCTTTATTTATTTCGTTACTTCTTTATTTACGTATTTATTTCTTTCTCTCGTTCCTTATTTATTGTTTGCTTTCGTTACTTCTATATTTCTTTCTTTCGTTATTTCTTTCTTGCGTTCTTTCGATATTTCGTTCTTTCGTTCTTCTATGTGTATATATATATATACACATAGATGTGTATATATGCATGTATTCTGTGTATATACATATATATATATATAGAGAGAGAGAGAGAGTTGTGCATGTAAGCTTGTTTAGATGTAGAAAGACCTATTTATTTATACTTGTAGTTCATTTTTATTTATTGCTGTCATGCGTATAGTTATTTTACATTATTCGTGTTTCTACCTATGTATTCCTTCATAGCATGGCTTATACCATTTTATGTGCAGCATAGCGTCTCAGCCAGGCGTTTCAAAAGCTAAGGGCCAGGCATCATGCACGTCAGGCTACGGTGGAAAGTCTGAGCTGACTCGGGTTCCCAAAGCGGCTAGAATAGAGCAGCGGGTGGGATCCATGCTTGGACCGTTAAATTGAAAACGAAACCCTCATTGAATCGCAACCCTAAACCCAAAACCCCAGAAGAGTTCCGAACGACAGCCGAACACCGCAACCGATAGCTGCTGGTATCTTCCCATGTACTGAGCGCAGTAATGTTTCGGAATCCAAACGAACTGTGTTGCCAACTATTCCGACCCCTGTGTTACCCACACCCATCTTTTGCGGACGACCTCTCGGTGAAGGTGCGACGCTAAGATTAAGCTATCTTCCGCCCAGGACAGGGCATGACCAAGGCGGATCAAAACAGAGGGGTCTGCATAAACACAGCGCTTGGGAAATGAGTTGGTCTGCAAAACTACTCAGATTCAGACCCCCGGATTCTGAAAATGAGGCGAGGCCATTTACCCGCCCGTAGATGAGTCAGAGGAGTGCCTCTGGACGCAGCCGGCTTGGAGGTTCTTTTCGGGGCCTTCATATTTAGAAAAGTTCTGGGGACTAGGTCTGCTTCAAAACATTATATTGAGCTTCATTGACCTGGTGCCTCGCACCCGATCCCTTCATGGCTCACCTGAGAGGCCATCGATGACCTGCCTTTCCAGTGCTGGGCGGCTTCCAGAACACTTCCATCATGTGTTCAACAACCGCTCACCACCCAGGAGAGCGAATAGCTACACACTATGGAGCTACTAATTTGCCAGGGAACATTGGCTGTTGACCCGTGTTGGGCCAGCCGCATGTTTCGCAGCGAAAGCAGGAGCTCCCTCACCAGGCGACAGCCGACCGAGGCCTCGTCAAACCCTCACATGCAACCGAAACACGGGACTTTCACACTTCCGGAAGGTCATCTAAAACCGTCTCACCGGGCTATACGTTCTGAACGAGGTCACAACCCGGGAAATTCACGCTCAGGAGCAGCAAACTCGCATGGTTGATGGCTTGATGATGCACCTAGTGTATTTGTTTTATGTCTCTGGATGTGCGTATATACATATATATATATATATTACTTATACTTATATTTATATCTATTTATTTACTTACACTCATTTATCTACATTCATATACCTATATATACATATGTATAGAAATTTATGGCACAATGTGTGTATATATATATATATATTTATATATTTATTTATTTATTTATTTATGTATTTATATATACACACACACATTTATTTGTTTATATGTGTGACTATATACTGCCATGTGGTCGTACAGGCATAGACTCACATTCTCAATGGGGACCTCTTGGACCTCGCGGCGAGCACCAGCAAGGAATCAATGCCCCGTCCTCGCAGAGGCGCTGCGGATCCAAGAGGCCACATTGGCAAAGCCCAAAAGATCTCCGCCACACTGCCCGTGGGACGCTCTTAGTTTGGGGAACAACCTCGAAACCCTAACTTTAGCCCGGATGCAAAATGTTGGAGTTTCTTCGATAAGAAGCATTGCTGGCTATGCTGGTCGCCACATCACTGCATACACTCCCAGCGCAATTGAATCTTGGCTGACTGTCTCCCGTCCATCTCTGGTCGTCGAAGGGCGCGGTGCCCCGCAGCATCTGCCTTCCGCCACTCCGGGTCAAGGCTTCAAGCTAATCGCAACAAATGAAGAAGAAGCACCATGACCACCGACACCACCACCACCACGACCGCCGTAAGAATGAAGATAAACGATAACAGCAAGCAAACAGTATCGAGATTCACCCGACAGCGACGGCCAAAAGCCTAAAAGTTTTCTGAAGGATAAGACGATGGGTCGAAGCAGCAACAGCTGCCGGATCACTGGCAACAGCAGTGGTGGTACATACCTTTAGTTCTAGAACATTCGGAGGAAGATAAAAATAGCAGTCGTCCTGGTCGTAGTCGTGGTGAAAGTGAGTAGTAGTAATAGCAGCAGCAGCAGTAGTAGTGGTAGTAGCAGCAGCAAACAGCCCAAATCCTAGCCTTGCTTGCTGCAGCTCATCAACGCGACTGGACCCACCGCAAACACTCTGCCCAAACACCCCGAAGCCCGAATCCAGACTTCTCCTTCCGGGCCCCTTGCTGCACAACAGGGTTTCCCTGTGAGGCACCGCTCAGCGACCGGCTGGGCGCCTGAATCCATGGTCCGGGCAACTCGAACTTCACTGTCTAGCATTGAGCTCATCTCTGCATAAAGCCGGTTTGTCTGATGCAAGGATCTGCCAGAGTTCACATGCCACCCACGAGTAGCCGAACGGATCTAGTGATAGCAACAGCAAGATCGGGTCGTCGCGAGAGGCTCGTATCTTCTGCAAGTCAGCGGCGACAGTGGTAATGGTAAGCATTGAGGCTTGACGGTTTCAAGTCTCAGCAGCAACTGGCTGAAGCCCTATCACATGATCACATGCCTGGGCCAAACTTCTCTGAGGTTGCTCTCCCAGGATCTGGCTCATGACCTAGGGAGATCTTGGGGAGGCGTCCATGGGTAGTAGAAGTAGTTATATGTATATAGTAGAACAGAAGGAGTAGTAAAAGCAGTAGTGGCGCTGGTAGTAGATGTTGTAGTTATAACTGCAGTTGTAGTTGTAGGTGGAGTTGCGGTTGTAGTTGTAGTTGCTGTCTTGTTGTAATTCTGGTAGTAGTCCTACTACTGGCACTACGGCTGCTGCTGCTGCTGCTGCTGCTGCTGCTGCTACTACTACTACTACTACTACTCCTCCTAGTCTTTCTACTCCTGCTCCGGTCCTGCTCCTGCTGCTGCTGCTGCTGCTGCTGCTGCTGCTGCTGCTGCTGCTGCGCTTCTGCTACTACTACTGCTGCTGCTGCTGCTACTACTACTACAGCAGCAGCTGCTACCACTACTACTACCACTACTACTACTACTACTACTACTACTACTACTACTGCTACTACTACTGCTACTACTACTACTACTACTACTACTACTACTAATACTGCTACCACCATTACTACTCCTACTCTTACCTTCCAGTACCACTGCCACTTCCACCACCACTGCCTCCGCCACTACCACGACCGCACCACTACCACTACCTATACCACGACCACCATAACACCGTTACTACTACTACTACTACTACTACTACTACTACTACTACTACGACTACTACTACTACTGTCTACGTTGTCGTTCTTCTACTTTTTATGCACTTCTTCCCATTTATGTCGTGTTGCTGAAGTCGCTTGCGGGGTCAAATATTCCTATGCGCTTGTTATTCTATACACAGGCACCACCATGAACGTCAGTGCGTCGTAGACACGCCGCACCATTCACCCGATGCGCCGTCCATCGGTGACCTCGCGGCTCGTAAGCAACAGCTTTAGCTAGCCCAGAGTTCCTGCACCTGTAGGTGGAGGCGGGAGCGCATCGCGCTTCGTGCTTCTAGGGCGGTGCTCCTTGGCCAGGTTTGTCCGGCACGCTATGGTTAAGCGCCTGGCTTTGCGAACTGCTCGGTCACATCCGTCCGGTCATGCAACTTACTTTCGGTTGCATCCGAGGTTGCCGGCTTGGGCATCGAGCGCACACATCTCCAAGGTGGACTTTGGTATCGCTTCGAACTTGCATTAGCGCAGTCGCCAGGCGATAGATTTCGAGGAGAAGTTGATGGAGACGCAAGGCGAGACGCCGTATGTCTTCTATCGCTTTGCCGGTCTCTCCCTCGCATAGATCAGTTGTCATCTTGTCGTGGCGGGCATGAGGCGCTCTCGCAGACGAAGACCTGTGATAATGTGCTGAAGCAATGTTTCCGGATGAGGTTAAGGCTGGCAAGATGTGCTCGTCGCGTTTGCAGCGCCTTAATTGCGGCAGGGAGGTCATGGTCGTCGCCGAGAACCTCCACAAGACAGTGCTCGAAACTCGGATATATTGCAGCCTCGATTTATATCTCCATGTCTGCAGGGGCGAGGTAAGTTGGAATGACTTCTTTGAACAAGCGAGGGTGTCGCGTTCCTCGGTTCGGCTAGAACTGTGCCAGACGCAAGCTTTGGTGTGTGCACAGGTGAATTGACGAGTCGCATGGGCTGTCACTGTCAATTGTCCTAGCCCCAGGCATGCTCTGTGACTGCCTGGAGTGTGTGTGTGTGTGTGTGTCGTGGACCGAGGAGCAGCAGCGAAAACTCGCTGCTATTGTGGCGAGAGGCGTGCCGCCGCTTCCGTAGAAAGATCGCGCTCAACGATTGTCGGTCTTCGAGCGTGCAGAGCCAATACCAAATCGGGCGCGCCGTCATCTCTTGCACTGATCTCAAACCTCAGTCAAACATTCGAACCGTGGCTTCTATGGATCGCATATATATATATATATATATATCGCATGCAAAGCCAAGAAGAGATGTTGCATCTTCGCGCTTGGATCTCGCGCTTCGAAATCGAAACTCAAATGGAAATGGAGGTTTAAGTAGAGTGACCGCTTGCATGCAAGTGCAGTCAGAAGCAGGTGCATGTGTGTAATGCTTCGCATACCTTGCTCTAAACCTTAGCCTTGCCCCCTACATTTGCAGCCGTCTGTGGTATACACGCTCAAGCACTGGAAACAGCAAGTTAGTTGTTGTTCCAGGACCCGGTGGTGAGCTCAGTCGCACCTGGACTCTGTTCGAGCTCGGCCTGCATTCTGTACTCATTGCGTGCTTAGTAGGTGTACAACGTCATGTGACGCAGCTCGTGTACGTTTTGTTGCTTCAGGTCTTCCCGTTGCGACATGGCCCCGTTGCAGGCGCTGTTTCGACGAGGGTGTACATAACTTTGCCGCCCAAACCTTTCTAGCTTGTCAGCCTTGGCGGCTTGGACAAGCCAACGTGCCCATTGTCCGATACCCGGATCCGCGCCTGCGCGAAGCGAGGACACGGTGTTGGCGGGACCCTGCAAGTTGATGCAGTGCGCGCCTGACCAGGGCAATCCGCATCGCCGCGGGCCTCATGATCGCGGCGGTGCTCGTCGTCGACGGCAAGAGCGGCAGGCTGGGGTGGCATGCCAGAAGTAGGTTTCGGGGCTTTGAGCAAGGACTCCCGCGGCTGGCATGAGGGCATCGAAACCGACGACGAGGCCGCTCTTCTGCACGCACGCGATTGCAGCAGATTGTTCTCAGGTCCTTGCCGTTGGGGGCGTGCACCCTGCCTTTCGCGTCAGAAGCTTGGCAGTGTGTGCGCCTCGCTGGGTCCGTGCAGTCGCTCGCAGGGCCATCCGCCGCGGCTCGTGGTCATGCTGCAATCTGGGTTCATGCTTATAGTCTACGGCACGGAGGCCCGATGAAGCACATGGGAGAAAGTTGCTCCTTGCATCGCGCAGGGCGTCCGCTTGCACTACATTTTTCCAGATTGTTTATCCTTATGTTCGTGTGCGACTCGGCGTCAGCGAACCTCTCGATGATTCGCCGGGTTGCCGACATGGCTGATGAGAACACTTTGGCACCGCTGGCTTGCTTGCTTGTCTTCAGTCACTCACAAGTTGTGTCAGTTGCACATGTTGTCAACATCATGTTGTATTGTGTGAGTGCTGCAAGCCGGATGTGAAACTGTCGCAGCGCACACGGCTCCAGCAATGGAGGAAGGCCGAGTAGAGCCATACGATAGCTGGCGCGACGTAGCATCGTTGCCTGCGACACCTTCGGTGGGGGCAGCACCGCCAATTCCGCATCCTGCGGTTGCTGAGTTTTCGTATCCGGCGTTCAATGAAGTCCCCGTCGACAGCAGCCCCTTAAAATAAGTACATCCTATATTTTGGGGATTTGATTAGATTAGAACTTAGAACTTAGAACTGGAAGTTCTTTTTGGGGCTTAAGAACTCAGCAACTAAGGACCCCTGACTCCTTTCCACGTGCCCCCGCCGACGTGCGCAACCGATAGCGGGGTGGCCGTGGCTGGGCCGGAGGACGTTCCTCCACCGCCATCACAGTCTGAAGAAGAAGGCCTCATGGGGGATACCTAACTCAGCCAAGCGACCCTTCGCCTTCAACACTCAACACCCGAACCAGGTGAGGCACAGGAATCTAGCTCTTCGATTGCGCCGACGCTGTCGCCTCCCAGAAGTCACCCCAGAAGCTTGGCATACAAAAGGGTAGAGGGATGTTACTTTACTACTTCAGTTGGTTGTTCGATTAAGTTGGTGGTTGAACGTCGCAGGCATGGCAGACACTGAAGACACCGAGTTACGGAATGCACGGGAGGAGTTTGACGCCGCGATAGCGGCTGAGAGTTCTTCGCCGGCTTCGCCTGTTGATTTCTCTGGTCCTCCAAAAGGACCCCCGCCACCCCGGCCGGTGAACGTGGGGAAGAGACGCTTGCCACCGCCGCTGGCAAAGCGCTGTGCAGCAGAGCCGCCGAATGAGGACCCGACAGGCAGTGGCGGTGGCTGCGGCGTCTACGACGATGATTTCAAGAAGCAGGTTTTGGACACCCAGCCTTTGTTTTGGTCTTCTGTTACGTTGTGAATCTCCGGGCGTAGACGGTGTAGAGTGTAGTGTAGACTAGCAGTTCGGTCAGCTGAGAAGTTCATGGCATGGATGATAGCAGCTGTCAAGGAGATTCCGGATTGGGTCAGAGATCAGAAGGCCACCACTTCTGCTGAGCCGCCTCCCGATGACGACGACTTGATGGATGACGACAGTGACGAGGACGGCGCTGAGGGCCAGCAGCGGCGGAACAAGAAACGTAGACGGGATGACAATGCCGACCCTGGCCGTGGAAGTGCTGACACTGCCAGCTGATTGGAGTTCCAACTTCCCACAGACTGCAGTGTTTCTGGAATCGGATAATATGTACCATGTACATGTACTATGAGACTATGATACTATGATACTATGCACTAGCTGCTATGTACTATCGCTAGCTATTTGTTGTGACTCTGCAGTTGGAAATCCATGATGCATTGAGCAGTGCCGGGTCTTCAGCTGCTGCTGCCACCTTTAAAAAGATCTGTGTGTGTGTGTGACGCGAGTTCCACTCCGTGTGTGCGACACGAGTTCCACTCTGTGCAGTGTAGTGTGCAGTGTGCCTTTGTCTATGACAGGTGGTGAAACAGCAGTGCTGGGAGTAGCGCAGGTCAGAATAGTCTGGCAAGGGGACGTCCGCAAGGCTTTTCATGTTTTCAGCGCAAGAGGACTGAGAAACTTAGCGCTCTGCTCTTCTGCACTTCGGATCCTCTTCTCTTCAGTGCCTTTGCGCCAGCTGCTTTGGCTCTGTCAAAGATGGCGCTTCTTGGGTTGGTGACCATCCTCACGGCTGTCCTGCGGCACCTGACGCAAAAATTTTCGCAGAGGCCAGCTGCGCGTGTGTGTTTCGCAAGCGCGCAGCCACGTTCGGCGCCTGCTCCGCCCCGAGGAGGTTGCGGAGGTCTTGCCTGATGTCCTGTCTGATGTCCTATTGCATAGGTCCTGTGCCTGGCGACCGAGGTCTTTCGTCGAGAGGGAGACATGGTCCGCCAGGTTATGACAGGCCAAGCCGG